GCCCACGCGACGCGCGAGGTCCCTCCCCGCGCGCTCGACCGCACTGAAGGGGCCCCTGGGACACACAAATAAATACACACAAATAAAAAGATTCCCCATTTTTTTTTACATATTTTCTGGGTTTTTGTCTTCCCCCCCCACTTCCCAATATGTTCCCATATTTTCCTGGGGATCGTCGATGACTTGTGTCTGTTTTTTTTTCCCCTCTTGACGCACCCCCGTCGTGCAAGGAGTCACCCGGGCGCCGCGCGCCCACCCCAACGAGACAGTCGCGCTCTGAGGGTACAGTCATCGGCCTGACCTAAGGAACGAGAAATAAGGAACGAAGCCCCTTCCTTCCAAGGGATAACGCACAGGGAACGATGAACCAATCATACATAACGCATAGGGAGCGAGAAATAACGCATGCAAGCCTAAGAAACGACCGAGCCCCTTTTGAAAAGTAAGCGCTCCTTATTCGAGCCGCTCACTGTATCCTCAGTGCGACGCAACGGCGCCACCGCGCGTGGCGCGACGCGCGCGCGGCACACAATCAGTCGCCAATCGCCTGCGCTACAGTCGAGGCGTTGACCTAAGGAACCCTAAATAAGTAACGAGGCCCCTATTTTCCATAAGTTAAACTTCGATTTCGTATCGAAAACCTAAGGAAAACCTGAGGCAAGCTGCGAAGCAATTAAGGAACACGGAGCCCCTCCCCAACGAAACGGGTTCCTTCTTCAAGGCCCCGACTGCACATCTGAATTTGCAGAGGGACGCCTCGATCGTCGCGAGGCCCCCGCGCGCCGTGAGCGCGCGCCCAATCGCGCAGCGAAGCGCGCTCTCCTGCGCGGAGCGACCCCCCGCGAACAAAAAAGCACCCACGCATTTTGAGACCGCCGCCGATGCGGCGCGCTAGTCCTTCCCCGCGCGCTCGAGTGTCGCCCGCTTGCGCGAGGAATCCGCTCTGCGCCTGGCGCACACCCACTCGCGAAAACTCATATTCCGCTGCCGATGTGGCGCATCTGCTCCACCGCGGATGGCGCGACGCGCACGACATGCGACCAATCGAGCAGCGACGCGCGAGATTTCAATCGCTGCGCGAGACCCGGTCGCACGGCGAGATGTTTGCGGGTGCGACGCATGTTGCTCTTCCCCTTTTAAGCAGGCGGCGTGGGGGTTGTGGCGAGGAAGGGTTTTACTCTCGGGCGCAGCCGAGGCAGTCGTGGGGGGGTCACGAGCATCGCGAACGCGCAAAAGGGCAGCCTACCCTCCCAATCATGCTGAGTGGGTTTGATGCGCGCGCGCGTTCCTTGTCAACACTCTCTCTCCCTCGTTCGCTCTCTTGTTCCCTCTCTTTCTCTCTCTCTCTCTCTCCCTCGTTCTCGCTCTCTCTCTCTCTCTCTCGCTTTCCCTCTCTCGCTCCCTCTCTGTCTTTCTCTCTCTCTCTCTCTCTCTCTTCCTCTGCCTCCTAGACTTTCCTTGAGGGCTTCCACAACGGATGGGGGAACACATCGTCCAATAGCTTGGTCAGGCTCTAGCAAAACATTTGGCCACAGAAGCATTTCAAGGAGCCAGGGGGCGACAGTGGCTCGCAGTAGGTATACCCGATCATGCACGTCGCGTGAAGCCAGCTGCACTGTCTGGTGTGGCGGCTGAAGGCTTGCCTGGCTGAGCAGCCAACGTGCTATCTGCGCGGAGGACTGACAACAGGACTTGCATGTGGCTCCCATAGTGTGGTGCCCGGAACGATTTTTGAATGTCGATTCCGAGCCATGGGTATCTGCATGCTGGCGGATTTCGCCATTGACTGTGGCACGACCGCTGGCTGAAATTGCGCCTGCTGGTGTACGCATGCTCCGACACTATGGCTGACCAACGGTGGCCCTCCACACGACATTGACTGAATAATTCGCATGGTCGAACCAGTCGGATCGAATCCCATCCGTGCGTGACGGGGGTCGGTCATGGAGGGTATCATCCACACAGCTGGTGCCCCGCGCATTTACCGGCACGCGTAATCGAATCGACCGAATCGTGCAAAGCCGTGGGACGTCTCTCGGATCCAACTAGCCCTCTGGACGCAGGTGGCGAAACGAGTTCGCACTTCTTTCTACCAAAACCACTTCTTCCCCTATTCGGGCACCCTGTCAACGAGCACCCAACAGGTGTTTTTCATTGTCCCCTATCAGCGAGCACCTCCTCTCCGAGGCGACCGGCAGCCAACCCGAATCCATCAGGGCATCCATGACACTCCCCCCGCCCACCATCCCTGTCAAGAAACAAGTATGAATCTCGGCACACATATATCTCTCTTTTTGGACAAGGACGGCGGGGGTGCCAGTGCCAGCATATCGCTCGCTGCGCGCAGGGCCACTATCACTGTCAACAAAGAGTTCACAAGTGCAACTTCGCAACTAAATTTGGGTCATGCGAGGCCTCCCCGCGATCACTGTTCTTTGGTTTTTGACAAAGACGGCGGGGGTGCTGTGCGCAGGCCAACCAGGCACAATGACGGCCACCACGCCGCGATTACGCTTGGTTTTCGACAAGGGTGGTGGGGGCCAGCATGTTTCCGGATGAGTACTGGCACGTGCGCGGGCGCACCTAGCACACCCTGCGCATGCCTTGAACGTGGCGCACCTGACGCGGCTGGAACATGCGGTGCAGATGGTGCACGTGTAGCACGTGGTGCATGTGACCAATCGTGCCTGACACGCTTGGGCCGCAGGGGTGCCTGGCGCACCTGGTGCACCTAGTGCGCGTGGCGCGCCTGGCACGCGTGGCGCACCTCGCTCCAGCGTCGCGCACGTGGGGTCTGTTTCGGTTCCCACTCGCTCTCCACCGAAAGAAGACCGCTGAACACGCCGAGGCTCGGGTACTACGTATGTGTTGGGAGCGTAGGTGGGAGTGAGCGAGACGGCTTGCGGGCGGGAAGGGTGACTTGATCACTCCCCCGAACGCCTTCCCTGGGGTTCGCCCCCCCCCCCCCCCCCCCCCCCCCCCCCCGTGGATCGGGGAGCGTAGCATCAGCATCAGCAGCATATGGGAGAGCATGCTGCGCATGGAATGAATTTGAGTTCCAGCACGCGTAGCAGTTAACCAAGTTCCCGTGGTGCTGCCCCTATGTCTGCACGCGTAGTTACAAGTTCCCGTGGTGCTGCCCCTAGCACGCTGGAGAGAGGAGGAGTGACGTAGTTTCTGGAAGATCTTTGTCCCACAAAGTGGGATAACGCATGTTGACCGTGGGCCGACTTTGGCCTTGGTTGGCACGATAGCTTGCACCGCCATGTGTCTCAAGATCTCTGGGGGCTCAGCGGCAACGCCGCCTCCAGGGATGGGTTGCAATGTATTTTGCACTCTAGGTCAGCAGCTTCAGGCCGATTTTCGCCGTAACGCTGCACTTTGGCTCAAGATGGAGCGGTCTGAGGAAAAACATCATTTGCCCGTCCCGGTGAGGAAGAGGGGTCAGTCTCAGCGGCGACGCAGGCTGCTCCTCCGACTCTCCATTTCTTGCAACACCCTCCTTAGGTTGAAACTCAGGATCCCTATAGACAGCAGCCTCCACCATGCTCTGCCCATACCCCCGGCAGAGGCCCATCGACTGTTGAGCTTGATAGCTCAGGGAACCCCACTCGACGACGTTGTCCACGAGGCTGAAGAGCAACAGTTTAGAAGATGGCATTTGATGAGTCGATCGTGCCCCATGCAGGGCCAGATGAGAGGAGAGCCCTGCAAAGCCCCCCACCCACCCCCGCGATGTGTCAGGCGGCACAAGACAGGGATAGTATTCATGATAGCCTCTGACATGCCTCCGAGAGGTCTGAATACGGCGACAAGGCAGCTTCAAGCGCTCTCGGAGCGCGCCAGCGTCGTTCCAAAGCCACAACAACACCAGTGCAATATGTAATGTATCCGCCTCCGATGGGGGCCCTTTTTGAGCCGTGAGGCCCAAGATCACCCCAAGAAGGCCCCGAGACACCCCCAAAGATCTCCAAGGGGGCGCCAAAACCTCTTAGCACAGCCCCAAGAAGGCCCCGAGACAGTCCCAAGAGGAGCCCTGCAGGGCTCCAAGAAATCCTAAGATAACACAACAAACCTCCATACGGCACTCACAACAAGGGATCCGCGAACGCTTCCTCCTCGTCCTCCTTCTCCTCCTCTCCTCGTCCTCCTCTTCCTCCTCCTCCGCCACCTCCTCCTCCTCGTCCTCCTCGTCCTTTTCAGCATCCACCCTTTCCCCCCACCAACTTCTCCCTCCTCCTCCGCCTCCTCCTGGTCCTCCTACTCATGCTGTTCCTCCCCGTTCACCTCCTCGTCCTCCACCCCTCATCCATTTGGACGCCCGACATGGGTACCGCAAAAATGGGTACGATGCCCAACAACAAATGTTGTCCCAAACCAACAGCGGCCGCTGTTGGACAGGCGGCCTTCTGTCTCGAACGGACACAGGCCGCGGCGGCGTGGACAGCGAATCCTGTTCAGAATGAACAGGAACTTCTGTTGGGCATCGTACCCATTCTGTCCGTGCGAGAGCAGCGCCTTGGCCCTGCCTCGCCCGCCGCAGAGCCTCGGCCCCAACGGGGGGCCCGTGAGGTGCCCGAGCGGCCCCGAGCGACTGGCCTCTGCCCGAGGCGGCCCCGAGGAGCGAATCGGGAACGGGAGCGGGCGCTCCCATCGCCAAATCTTTCCGTACCCATTCTTTCCGTGCCCATCTCGGGCGTCCACATCTCACCCAGGCAACTCTCACAGGCATCGTTGCACGGGCCGGTGGCGACACGCGAAGCGCACCTGGCTTCGCACGAGCCGTGGCGTGCCTTCCCCACCAGAGGGCCACTCGGAGCACGAGCTCCGCCCTTTGGAAGGCGGCGTCGAGCCCTGGCTGCCCCCGGGGTTCCAGCTCGCTCCCCGACCTCCAAAATCGCAGAAAAGCTGGCAACGACGACGACGACGGCGGCGGCGGCAGCGGCGATGGCAACCGAGACGACGGCGGCGGTGGCGACGGATACGACGGCGACGACGGCCTTCTTCGACGCGTGCCACGCGCCCATCACGTGGTGCGGCACCCCGTCGAGCACGAGGGCCACCTCTGAGTAGGAGCGCCGGGGCGAGAGGCCGTGCTGCGGAACCCCGCCCCTCCTCCCGCTCCACAGTCCCTCCACCCCCATGGCCAGATGTCTCCGCGTGCTCCTGCTCCTGCTGGCTGCTGCGCTTCCTCCTCCTCCTCCTCCTCCTCCTCCGCCTCCTCCTCCGCCTCATCACCCTTCTCCTCCCCCTCATGCTCCTCCTTCGGAAGCCGGTGATGGAGGGGGTGAGTGCCGACGATGATGTAATTACTGGGATAAACCACCTGCTAGAGCAGGCAAGCACGTGAGGCACTCAGGCGGCGGACCCGCCTCTGAGCGGGTCCCAGGCAGGCAGGCGTCTGGACGCAAGGTCGCCCTCATCCTCCGATAGACTACGAAGGAGCTCGGGGGGGCAAGCTGTAGAGCTGCATGCTTTCGGCGGCCGACGGACGTCATCCCGGAGAAGCAGCGACGACGACTGACGACGACGGCAAGAGCGACGATGGGGACGACGACGGCAAGAGCGACGCCAACGGCCACGACGACGACGACAGCATGCTGCAGCAAGTCCTCCTGGCCACCCAACGACAACGACGACAACGAAAGGCGGCGGTTAGGGCGACGACGGGGACGACGACGGCGACGTCGACGCCGACGGCAACGACGACGACGACGGCAAGTGGGGAAAGCAAAAAGCACCGATACCGCTACTCCCCAGACTTCTCCGGGAGTGCGTTCTCACCTGAACTTCGAGGCGAATCCAGCTAGGCGAAAACGAAGGAAGGGTAGTAGCATCGGTGCCTTTGACGACTTCGACGGCGTCGCCGCGATCGGCGCCACCGTCGCGCAGACTCGAGCGACAGCGACAGCGACGACGACGACGGCGAGGGCGACGACGGGGAAGACGACAGCGGTGTCAACGCCGACGGCCACGACGACGACGACGACGGCAAGGACGGCGACGACGACCGCGACGACGCCACGCCGGCGCGATCGGCGCCGCCGTCGCGCAGAACTCGAGCGGTCCGGCGCTGGCGCGCTGCTGGAAGCTCCACTGCAGCACCGGGCGGTCCTGGCAGGCGCCGGCGCCCCCGGCCGCCCGCGCCCGGCCCCTGTGCTGCCCGCTGCAGGCGGAAGGATGGCGGGGAGCCCAGGCAGGGCGTGCGCGCCAAGCCACGTGCACGAACGTGCCGCCGTCGTCGCCCCCGCCGCGGCTCTGGCCGTCGTGAGGCGTCGGCGCGCGCAAAGATTTGTCACACCGCGTCGATCGTTCAATCTTCAATCGATGGCGGCCCCGACCGTTTCAAAACGAGCTCTGTTGGGTCCCGTGGCTCTACCGAGTCCATTGGTGCGTCCGCGTCGCAGAATTCAACCTCGAACCCCTTCGCCAGCGTCGCTGGCGCGCCATCGCTGCATGGACCCACCGTATCTCTGTTTCGCTTTTGAGGGTGGTGGTGGTGGTAGTAGCGCCACATTCGGCGCGTTCCCCTCGACGCCAAATGCTCTATTGCACGGCTGTCAGGCTCGACAGCCATTTCACAAGTGAAGGACAGCGACTGGATGCATCAAATTCTGAACCACATGCAAAGAATTGCGCAAGATCTGTAGGGGGAGGAAGGACGTGATCTCTGTGCAGCGGTCAGCGACCTGACCCGATCTTACCTCCCGCGTGGCTCTGCCCTGCGCCCCCCGGACGGGCCAGGCCTCCTGGGGGGCGGCCTCCTGGAGGAGGAGGAGGAGGAGGAGGAGGAGGAGGAGGAGGAGGAGGAGGAGGAGGAGGAGGAGGAGGGTACGAAGGGGGAGGAAAGGAGGCGCCAGGAGGAAGGGAGAGGCAGGCACTGTGTGATTGTAGCCGCCTCCTCCAGGGGTGCCTTCGGTGGCCCCTCCTGCTGCTCAGGAGGGAAGGAGGTTTTTGCGCTCACGTAGGAGAAGCACAACTCCGAACAACCGGCGCCGAGACGCATGCGGGACGGAGTCAGGAAAGGGAGAACAGGATGAGCAGGAGGGGGACGTCCACGCCGGGGGGGGGGGGGACGCTAGGAGGGACGAGGAGGCATGAGGAGTGCCGAGGAGGAGGGATGATGTGGAGATGAGGCGGGCAAGGGAATGAGGACGAGGGAGGGGGAAGGAGGGAGGACGCAGGTGGAAGACGAGAGGGAAGATACTTACTGTGCACTCGGTGGTGCCACGGGTGCCATGCTACCGCCACAGGGGAGGATGAGGAGTGTGTGGGTGAAAGGGGGGATGGTGTGGGTGATAACGGTGTTAGATGTTACCGCTGCTGATTTAAATATTATAGAAACTTCCGAGGTTCTCGAATGAGTGCAAAGAGTGATCGGTTTGTCTACTAGTGGAAAGCGCGGTGGCTCCTGGAGGTGAGGGTCGGATGGAAAGAGCAGGATGAAAAGAGTGGAAGTGCAGGATGACAGAGGATTGGAGATGGGGGGGACGATGATGGTTCTTAATTGCCTGTTCCTCTTGCTGCGACCAGTCCACCTGGTTCTGCTGCTTCTGCTGCTGCTCTCCTCCTCCCTCTGCCAAGATCCACCCTGCTAGCTGTCCCCGCTCCTCGTACTGCTGCTGCTCCTCCCTTACCTCCTCCTCCTCCTCCTCCTCCTCGCTCTCCTCATCATTTTCCTCCTCATCCTGCTGCTTCTCCTCTTCTTCGCACGTAACTCTCCCCTCCTCCTCCTCCTCCTCCTCCTCCTCCTCCTCCTCCTCCTCGTCCTCCTCCTCGTCCTCCTCCTCTTCCTCGTCCTCCTCGTCGTCCTCCTCCTCCTCCTCCTCCTCCTCCTCCTCCTCCCCCGCCTCCTCCTCACCCCCTTCCTCCACGTCCCCCTCATCAAACTTCTCCTCCTTCTTCTCCTGCTCCTTCTCCTCTTTCTCCCCCTGCCCCTCTGACCCAGCAGAGGCTCTCCTCTTTCTCTTTTCCTCCTCCATCCCTTCCTTCTGGGGAAGTGCAATGGGAGTCAGTGAGGGAAGCCGCAAGAGGACATCATCTCTAGAAGACGGGGACGCAAGATGGGAAGGACCATACGGATGGGGAAGATGAACAGGGGAAACGGGACGACACGGCGGACGAGAAGGAGGAGGACGAGGAGGAGGAGGAGGCGGACGAGGAGGAAGAGGAGGATAAGGAAGAGCAGGATGAGGAGAACGAGGAGGAGGAAGGAGGACGTGGAGGCAATACACTGTAAACTATAAACCAGGTAACGAAGAAGACAAAGGGAATCTCCCCCTCCCCTTTAACCCCTCATCTTATCTTCTTATATATTCCTTCTTCGACCTCCTCTCCCATTCTTTTTCTTACATATTGCCCTCCTCTTCTCCAATCCTGCTTCTCCCCGTCTTCCTCTTAATCAAGTTGCCCATTCCTCCTCGTGCTCAAGACTCCTTTTTCCTGCTGCTTCCTCCCTGATGCCCATCCTCCCCCGCCTCCTCCTCCTCCTCCTCCACCTTCTCCTCTCCTCCTTCTCCTCCTCCTCCTCCTCCTCCTCGGCACTCCTCCTCCTCCTCTTCCTCCTCATCCTCCTCCACCTCCTCCCTTCCTCCCTCATCGTTCTCCGCATTCTCCTCATCCTCCTCCTCCTCGTGCTCCTCCTCCTCCTCGCTTTCCTCCTCTTCCCTTTCCTTCTCACGCTCCTCCCTCTCCTCTTTGCACATGGCTAACTATCCCCTCCTCCTTGTCCTCCTCCTCCTTTCAATCCTTCTCCTCCCACTCCACCTCCTTCTCCTCCTCCTCCTCCTCCTCCTCCTCCCTCCTCCTCCTCCTCCTCCTCCTCCTCCTCCTCCTCCTCCTCCTCCTCCTTATTATTTCCCTCCTCCTCCTCCTCCTATTCCCCTCGACCCCCGACGACGACGTCCAGCGTCCAAGTCCGACGGTAAAACGCTGACGACGACGGATACGTCGGGCGTTGATGGCGACGTCCGACGGGCGCCCCCGAAGAGCCGCGGCGGTCTGGGCCTGCGGGCCGCTGCAGGTCTTCGTACACTGCACGAACTCCTGGAGCAGGGAGATGGCGCCTTTGCCTGTCGTCGGTCCGGTGGGGCAGCGGGGGGGGGGAGCGGGGGAGGGGCACTTCTCGCCCACTCGGCTGGGGGACGTCGTCATCGTTGTCTGACATCGTCGGGGGGGTGGGAGGGGGCGTTTCTGGACCCCGCGGGGGGAGGACGTCGTCACCGTCGTGGTCGTGGCCCAGCCGAGCTCCAGCAAAGGTGCGAAGGCAGAGGCTTGTAATCGAAAGCGGCTCGAGGACCGCCGGCGAGAAGCATTGGCCAGAGACGAGGGCACAATACCGCCCAACCTTGCCACGCACACCTTTGGTCTCGCCAACAAGGGCTGACACACACTCAGGCAAACATCTGATCTAATCTGTTCGTTTCCATGTTGCCGTGCGCTTGGTCGAAAGCGGCAGCGAGGGCGCGGCAAAACGGAAGAGGGTGGCGTCCAGCCGAGTGAGGTTCGCCGAAACCTCCTCCCGCGGCTACACCTTGAATGAAGGCATGCCTGGGACCAGGACGCGATCGCAGCTTGCCACAACACCTGCACGCGGGCTGTTTAAGGGGGAAGCGGTCACCGCAAATACCTGTGGGAATTTTCCATGGAGTCCCTCATTTGCACAGATCGGCGATGATGTATTCAGACGTTGTCCTAGCCAACGCTTCCTGCAACTGGGGCAACAACCACAGCGCGAGCTGGCCGGGCTCTCAATTTTATCGCGCAACTCCTGTAGATGCATCAGCTCAAAGTGCTGGAAGTAGCAGCGGCCAGAACACGACCGAGCCTCACTGCCTCCAAATTATCCAGGTGGCAATGCTCGGGGAGCGTGCGCAGCTGCTGGCCACTCCTGAAACGAGAAAGCAAACCAGGATTGGGGGATCGAGATCGCGGGACTAACTAGATCCTTCACGCAGGCGCGCCCAGAGGTAGTTCTGGGACTAGCTGGCCCATTCGGAAGAATTCTGGAATACGCTACAACGTTTCGGAGGAGACGGGAGAATTACATGGAAAAGTCTGGCACTCCCTTAGCAGCGCGCGCCCAGGGTGGCGCAAGCCGCCCGACGCCCGACAACGACTGCCACGACGACCAAGACGACGACGACAACCGCGACGACAATGACCATGACCGCGACCGCAACCCCTACCGCGACGACGACGGCGACGACCACGACCACGACGACCGCGACGACGACGACCACGACGACGAAAACGACGACGACGACAACGACGACGACGTCCGCGACCGCGACCACGACTGCCACCACGACGACGACGACCACGACGACCGCGACGACCGCGAAATTCGAGATTGACGACAACGACCACCACCACCACCACGTCGACGACGACGACCACGACGACCGCGACGACCATGATCATGACCGCGCCCGCGGCGACGACCACGACGACGACGATGACGACGGCGACGACGACGACGACGACCATGACATCGACGACGTGAAGACACGGGGCCAGGGGAGGGGAAGGAGACGATAGGAGAGGCAGAGAAACCCGAATGACCCGTGGCTGAAAAGCCATCGCCGCATGAACCGCCGGGCCGAGTCTCAACGGAGAGGACCGCGCAACATAGCGCAGGAACAGCGCGCCGAGTGTCCTCCTTGTCGCGTGCGTCCTCGTCGTCGTCAACCTCCCCATCCTCATCCTCTCCCTTCTGTTCCCCTTCTTCCGTCTGTCCATCATCGTCGTGAGTATACGGGCGATGCTGATGGGGATGGTTCTCCTCATCCACCTCTTCGTTCACGTCCTCCGTATTCTTCTCCACACATTCGCGCCGCCAAATGAGTGCATAGGTACCGCGCACGATCCCGTCGCTTGCGTGACCACACATAACGTTTGCAGTTATCATGCGAGATGAAATAAAAATCGAAACATGAGGGCGACGGACGTGTCACTATCTGGAAAAGCTTGGCGACATCTGAAAAAACAGGGCAGGATCTGGACGAAGGCGATCTGGAGGAATTGGGCGGAATCTACACGAATTCGGCAATAGCTGGACGGATCTGTACGGATGTGGCAGAATCTGGACGCCAGCGATCTGGGGGAATCTGGCACAGAATCAGGGCGAATGCGCGAGAAATCTGGAGGACCCTGAAGAATCCGAAGGAATCTGGACGGACCTGGCCAAATCGGAAGGAATTTGGAAGCCCGCGACCTGGCCGATTCTGCCATAATCTGGATGAAATCCAGGGGGGGGGGTCTGGAAACATCTGGGGAGGAAGAGGGATCGGCCTGGAATAATCCACGGGGAGAGGGAGGAGCGTGAAAGTTTTTGGGGAGGGAGGGGCACGCGGACAACGGAAGACGAATTCCAGGAGTGATGCGAAGGGAGTGACACTGGAAGGAGGAAGGGCGAGGGAAGAAGGGGAATCTTGCGGGGCCATTCGGCTGCGAGGCTTAGGCTTGCTCCCCGCGCCAGTTGCAGTTTCAACTCTCCAATGTTACAGTCTTGTTTTTCTTCCTATTGTACACTGTTTGTTTAAATCCGCGCGAGGGGGGGGGCCAAACCAGCAATTTACCACGCCCGAATCGCGCTCTCTGAATTCATGGGTGGGCGTGGGACACGTGCAAATACATGATCGCGCCCCCGAGGCCATAATCCCGTGTAGATTGAACAATAGTCGCGTCCCCGAGGCCATTCACCCTCGCAAATTACGCAAGTGTTGCGTCCCCGAGGCAACAAACACGCGTGAATGACACAAGGCTCGCGTCCCCGAGGCCATGAACCCTTGCATATTACGCCGCGTTCACTCTGCCGAAGCCACACAAGCTCCAATGCGCCGGAAGATGGTTCCAAGACGGCCCAAAAACGCCCCAGGAGGCCCCAAGAGCGCTCCAAGAGGCCCCCCGAGAGAGCCGCAAGAGGCCAACATCGCAGATTTTACAGCTGTTTTTTTGAAACAGTTGGCCTTCTTGCAGTTTCGGCTTTCCGACGCTCCAAGTCGGCTCAAGAAGCTCCCAAGACCGCCCTAAGACAGCCCAAGAGCCAAGACGGCCCACGAGGGCTCCAAGATTGCCCAAGAAGCGCTCAATATGGCCCAAGAGGGCCCCAAGACGGCTCCAAGAGGGGACCACGAACCGACATTTCTTAAATTTGCGCCCCGGGATTCCCCCAGGAAGCCTCAAGAGGCCGCCAAAAGTCCCCGAGAGGCCCCAAGAGGCGCCCAAGACGCGCCCAAGAGGCCTCCAAGATCCCCACAAGATGCCCCGCGAGACCCCCAGAGGCCCTCATGAGGCGCCCAAGCCGCCTCCCTGAGGCCCCAGAGAGGCTCCCCACGACACCCAAACACATATACAAGTGGCTTCATATCCACAGCCCAGGCACGGTGGCGGGATGGGCCGAAGGCCACCAGGATCCGCCGCCCCGTGTCGATTCATCGCAGGGGTGCCTGGCGTGCTAGATCCTCTCGGTTTTGGTTTTGGTTCTTTTTCCAGAAGAACTCTCCCAGTGGGTTTCGGCCCGTCCCGCCGGGGTCCCGGGATTTTTTTCCACGGACCTCCATTCCCTACTTTGCTGCCCAAGACGGCTCCAAGATGGCCTCCAAGATGGCCAAGATGGCCTCCAAGATGGCCTCCAAGTCCGCCCAAGATGGTCCAAGGCGGCCTCCAAGACGGCCCAAGAGAGTCCAAGATGGCCCAAGACGGCCCAAGAGGCCCCCCAGAGGCCTCCCAGACGGCCCAAGAGGCCTCCAAGAGGTCCTCCAGGAGGGCCCGAAGAGGCCAAAATCATTGATTTTCCCTAAGTTTTTGAAGGATTTTGGAGTTTGCTTCTTCTCGGCATTCCGACGGCTCAAGACGGCCCAAGAGCCCCCAAGATCGCCCAAAAGGCCCCCAAGAGGGCCCCATGACGGCCCAAATGGCCTCCAAGATGGCCCCAAGACGGCCCCAAGAGACCTCCAACAAGCCCAAGATGGCCTCCAAGACGCCCAAGATGGCCTCCAAGACGGCCCCGAAGCGCCCCAAGAGGGTCCCCCGTTGGCCCAGAAAGGCCCCCGAGACTGCTCCCGACGGCGTCAGACGTGCCAGGAACCCACCAAGATGGCCGAAGTTGGCTCGAAGCTGGCCCAAAAGGGCCCAAGAGGCCCCCAAGAGGGCCTCCAGGAAGGCCAGAAGAGGCCAAAAACATTGATCTTCCTTAGGTTTTTGACGGATTTTGACATTTTCTTATTTTCGGCCTTCCGACGGCCCGAGACGGCCCAAGAGCCCGCAAAGATCGCCGAAAGATCGCCCAAGAGGCCTCCAAGACGGCCAAGATGACCTTCAAGATGCCCACGTGTTCCCCGAAGGCTTTCCAAACCGATTCGGGGAACAAATGGTCCGATGGCCTGGCAGGTCTGGACGTTCGGCCACATAGGCGCTTCCACAAAGGCAGGGGGCGGCGGTGATTCGCCGTAGGCGTCTTCGATCCGCCGCCCCCTTTTGATTTATCAAAGGGGTGCCTGGCGTGCCAGACCATATGAATCTTGGTTTTGGTTCTTTTTCCAAAAGAACTCCCCCTGGGGCTCCGGCGCGTCCCGCCGGGGTCCCGGGAGGATTGCCAAGGACCTCAATTCCCCAATTTCCTGCCCCGGACGGCTCCAAGATGGCCTCCAAGATGCCTCCAAGACGGCCAGGATGGCCTCCAAGACGGCTAAAATGGCTTTAAGATGCCTCCAAGACGGGCCAAGATGTACCCAAGACGGCCTAAGATAGCCTCAAGATGGCCCAAGGCGGCCCAAGGGGCCCCTGAGAGGCCTCAAGGACAGCCCAAGAGCCTGTCGAGAGGTTCTGCAGGAGGGCCCGAGGAGGCCAACATCATTGATTTTCTTAAGGTTTTTGAAGGATTTTGGAATTTGCTTCTTCTCGGTATTCCGACGACTCAAGACGGCCCAAGAGGCCCCCAAGATCGCCCAAGAGGCCCCCAAGAGGGCCCCATGACGGCCCAAGTGGCCTCCAAGATGGCCCCAAGAGGGCCCCAAAACGGCCCAAGAGGCCTCCAACACGCCCAAGATGGCCTCCAAGACGCCCAAGA